TCCTTCAAAAACTAGAGGATGAATAAAATGCTTTCTTTGGTTTATGTTTCAAACTTGAGTATCAGATTAAGAAGTTTTGACTTACAAACAGCAAAAGAATGAATCACTTAACTGTGAAGCAGCTAAAAAAAAATCCAAAATAGTTAATAACTTTAAGATACAGTGTTTCCTATTCAAAAAACTAATTTGTTTATCATCTTGGAATATTTTTCTTGACTATTACTTGAAATAGACAATTGGCCAGTAGCCGGAAAATATTTTAGTTATACAGAGCTTCTTATCATGGGATTTGCCCTGTATTTCATTAAAAAGCTAAGTGATCACACTCATCTAGGGAAGCCGTAACCTATTTGATTTGCCCTAAGACTCTATTTCATTTAACATTTTCATTTTTTATGGTAACACACTGTGAACAAACTGAAGAAAAAATACCCACTTGGACATTATGATATTTGTTTGTAGCTTTGTCCTGGTTTTAGTTTCCTACTTACTGACTAAATGGCACCACAGTGGGTAATGCACTGGAGTAAAAGTGGTGAATCATTAAAGAGTTCGTAAATTTTAAAAACAGGGGCAGGCCTTCTGGGTGTCATATGCTTCTAAAAAACCCGATGTTGTGCTGTATTAACTGAACTATGAAAGCTTTTAATTAGTCCTCTTTAAAAATGCTTGCAGAGAAGCATTTATTAACGCTTGCCCCCAAATTGTTTCTACTACTTAGCATTTCCATAACAATTTATATTTCAAAGAACTTTTTGATCATTAGTTACATCTACTCTACATTTCTACAGTGGAATTCAAGTGTTTAGCAAAACAGGCATAAAGATAAATCTCTTGACTGATTTTTGCTCAAGACTTCCCAATGAGAAGATGAATAGAATATGAGAAAACGAACAGAATATGAGATCTTGCTATAAATCTTTCAATTCTATAAATAGCCTGGTCCTCTCACTCTATATGAGTAGAGTAGTTGCTGTTGTATTCCCACAATTGTGAAAAGAGAAATGAGTTAGCTTCATACAAAGAGCTTTGAAAACTAATGTTATAGAACTTTGCAACACAGCTATGGCCACTCTGCCTTTCAAACTTCCCTAGAAGCCCACAATGCCAGAGCATTGCACAATTCTAAGTACAACAGACACATTGCGTTCTATGCTTGGAAAATTGCTTTGGATGCATTTTCATCAAAATTAATTACAAAAATTAGATTCATCAAATTTAAAAATCATACTAGAATCATTTTAGGTTTGATGTAGCCCAATTTATTTACTCTTAAGAACATTCAGGCTGAAATTACGTTCTCTATAATCTTGAGATCATACTAAAAATCCGCTCTGGGTTAAAATGCATTTAAACTTCTTTTATGGAAAAAAAAAAAAAAAAAAAAAGGCACTTCATAAAAATCTCTCTGGTCTATCCACTTCCCCATAAAAATGAGATGGCCTAGATCGAAGTGAATATATGTAAGCCACTAGAATGTTCCCCTCAAATTATTGCCATCTTTATGTTTCCACAGCAGTGTTACTTTTCTTTCCTTTTTTTTTTTTTGGGGGGGGGGGGACAAAATATATGCTCTGTTGCCAAGGGTAGATGCAGTGCTTTGGCATCATCATGGCTCACTCACTGCAGCCTTGACCTCCTGGGTGCAAGCGATATTTCCACCTCAGCCTCCTAAGTAGCTGGGGCTACAGGCATGCACCACCATGCCAAGATATTTTTTAAGAAAAAATGTGTAGAGATAGGGTGTCACCATGTTGCCCAGGCTAGTCTTGAACTCCTGGGCTCAAGCAATCTTCCTGCCTAAGCCTCTCATATTGCTGGGCTTACAGGCATGAGCCACTACATCTAGCCAGTGTTAGCTTTTCATTTATCTATTATCAGATAACAAAATAACAAAGTGATCACAGTTTTGCTTACAACGGAGACACTTACTTGACCCAGGACTTAATGATGTATTTTTCTGTGTTTATAGTCTCTAAATATGACACACTAGTGCTGTTAGATGGACTAAGAGCACTTCTACACTTTGCCAAGTCATAGTGAAGAGCCTGGTTGCATTCTGCTATCTAGTATTCTTCCCCCAGGCTACCACATGAGACTATTCCAGGAAAGAGTCTGGAAATCTGTATTTTTAACATATCTTGGGAGATTTTTATTACCTGACATGTTTAGTAAATGCTAGATGAGTCCTAAAGTCCTTCCATCTGAGATTTGGCGATTCTGACAAAAATTACATCACTAGAATAGTATCTATACTGCTGTACAGAGGAAATAAATTTTTGGTACTAAATTTATTAAAATGCTTAAGACACTAAATGGACCAAAGCTATTAATATTTCTTTCTCTCCCATGAAAGGGTGCCGTCCATAAAGGTAGAACCTATGTTTTAGGGCTTGTTGTGGCCCTATTGGGTAACACACTGGCTGGCACAAGTTAGATGCTTAATATGTTTTGAATGAAGAGCTCAACTACAGCAGCTAGCTGCCAATCTTATCCAGAGAGTCTTTCCTCCATTCAGGATCTTCAGTGCCCAAAAGCAATATCCAGTGCTCTAACTTTGAACATAACTGGGCAGCAAGATTAAAATAAAAACTAGTAAATTTTATATACAAAAATCAGCACTTATTGTTTGACTGAATACATGATTAAGATGGTGGCATTCTGTACTTCCTATCAACTGTATTTGAATATGGATGGAGAACTTTTCTAAGAATAATGTTAATGTATGGGAAAAATAAGAATTCACACTATACCAGAACCAATTTCGAAGACAAACACACTCAGTCTGAAACATGGACTATTAAAGAATTTCTGAAACTACGGAAGTGAGTCTATTTTTCTTTCTGGTACACAATAACTCCTTAGAGCCATTTGTGGAACAAAAGCAAAATAAATGGATGGTGATTGCATAAGACCAATTTAATTCTCTTTTTAGATAGTGGGGGGAAAAGATGTTAAGTAAAACATTTTTTTTTTTTCTAAATCAAACAATCAGGTTATTTCTCACCAGTGGAATATATGGCACCATAAGATTCAGGCTAATAACAGGAGAAGAATATTTTTTATGTTTGTGGCAGGAACATTTTCCTTTATCCATGCTAAGTGCATTTCAGGTCTCTGATCATAGTTTTTAATTTGCAATAAATAAAAGAGACTCCTACCCACCTGGAACATTTACTATGACTTTCCTCAACTTCGATTTCATTCATAAAAACTTCCCAAATGAAGTTAATTGAGACTTCTGTATAATGTCAATGCGGCAGAATGATTTATAAGAAAACAGTGCACAAGGAAATTTTGATGACCCTAAAGACAAATGAGCTTCAACTCAATGGTTGTCTTATTTATCCACCACATTTTCCCTCCTATAACTGAACAATTACCATGACTGGCAAGAATTTCCTCATCAAAATAGCAGCTTCAAATGAGATTTTCATTTTATAAAATCAATATTCTTGGGGAGCAGAGTATGCCAACACCCACTGCCAAATATTACCACACACAAAAAAAAATACTTGATGATAGTGGTTCTAAATTAATGCCTCTTTTAAACAATCCAATTTTGAAACGCTGAATTTATATACAAATAAATATATGAAATAATATTTAAAATGCAATATACATCTATATAATGTAAATGTTACTTTAGGTCCACCCCGATATAAAGAATAATAGTACTAGATTACAATTGTAATAAGTGATGAAGTTCACAGAACACACTTCAACAAGGTAGTCTGTAGGGGATGGAGAGGGATAGGGTGAGCAACAGTCAGAAGAAGGTAAACCGGTGGTTCCCAAAGTGTGGTAGCCAAGCAGCAACAGCACTGCCAGGGGAACTTGTAAAAATCACAATTCCTGGGCCCCACCCCAGACTTATGAAATCAAAAACTATGAGAATAGGACTTGCTTTAACAAACTCTCCAAGTGATGTCAACATATGCTAAAGTTTGAGAACGACTAGGCAATAAAGACTCAGATAACAGGCATAAGTAACTGTCATCTGCTTAACCATGTGACATGACAATTATCAAAGACTAAAGACTCAGGGATTTCTTGACTGCACCATTTAGAATCAAGTTCCGAATTCAATATACAAGTTGGCGGCCTGTTGGGGACGTGGTGAAAGGTGATGAGAGAGTAGAATTCCCGAACAGCTAACGTGGGTGTGGCAATCCAGGGAGTGAAAATCTTGGCAAAAGTTTTCTCCCTTATAATCCCTGAATATGACAGTATATAAGCTTCTTCTTAGAGAGTCGAATAACCCAAGGATATCAATATGCTAAAGAATTTATAAAGAAATAAATGTTCCTACAAGTATCCAAGCAGAAAATGCTTTTAAAACTTGTCTGTTACTGGCATGTAGTATTTGACCCTACTTCATCATTCCCAAAACTTGGAGTGTGTTTGTTCCAAAAATGACAGCCTGTTCCTGGGTGTTGGCTGTGCTGATCACAGCACTACATGAGCAGCACACATCACTCTGGAATAGGAGGAAGCAGGTGCTGAGATTATAATTAAATATGTATATAGGAAACAGGAGTGGCAGCAAAGAAGGGTGGGGAGGAAAAATATCCTTCCTGTGTGTCAAAGAGATACAGGTGGAGTCAATCCACAAACTAACTTCCAAAGCCCCACAGTATAATTTCAAAGCTTACAGACATATGCTAGGTCAGAAAGAGTATGTGTGTAAAATTGATTCTTATATAGTAGTTCATATTCATAACTTCATAACGTTCAATCTGAATGTTACCTTAGAAGCAGAAGAATTAAAGTCCCATGCTCAGACTACAATGCAAATCAAATCAGTTGTCCAGGAAGCGAACTGGGTTTAGCAACAGAGAATTAGCTATAGAAACCAAAATTCAAAATTTGTTGTGTCAAGCAACCTTTGTTCAAAAAAACAATGTTTCTTCAAGAATTAAACTACTCAGTTGGAAACAACACAAAGCAGCATCTTTCACATAAAATCTATTAACAATTTAAGAAGCAACAAGACTGACCAGGCTGTGCCGGTGAGCTCATCATGAGAGTCGAAGGGACTGGTAAGACTAGGATGTAGATGCAAAGCCTTTGTTGTTCAGCTACTGACAATGGTCCAAGCTGGGTTGGCAGAGGAGAAACCTAGAACATAAGAAAAATGCAATGTTTAAGATACAAGCCATGTCAAGTCATACTTAAAAAGAAACACAAAGAACTGGCCTTGAGTCTCAACTCAGACACATTGTGATCATGTGTCTTTGAGGCAGTCACATCAACCTCCCAGGTCTCTAAGTCTTCAACTAAAAAAAAGCAAATTCAGCAGTCTCGCTGATAGCATAGGAATATTGTGAACATAGAAATAAAATAATACGTGTAGAAGGAATCTGCGAGGGAGAAAGCAATTCACATAATTATAATTAGCCTACTATTTACTGTTCACTATAATTTGTTTGCTATTATCATTATGATAGAAATTAAAAACCTTTTTTGAATTTTTGGATATAAGTATGTCATTACATAGCATTTTAAACTATTATTATCAAAGACTTCCTTTTACAGATAAGACCTCTTGGCAAAAAGAAATGTGTAATCGACTAAAATAAGGAACAAATAGGCCATAAACTCTAAGAGTGACAGAAAATTCCCATTATAATTTCCGTTTCTTCTTGAAGTCTTTTGTAATGTTGTTCCAGCCCAAAGTAATAGCAACCATAGACTTTCTAGGAGTCATACTAACAGGATGGACTTCTTAAAAGGAATTTAAGGGACTTTCTGCTTTTAATTTGAATGTACTTCCACTTCTAGACACTTAGAAGAAAAGCAACTGGAAGGACATTTTCCTAACAGTTTACTGGAATGCCAAACTTCAGAAAAAAGCAGCAGCTTTTAAAATTATACTTAATGAGTTTCTTACTAAAATAGTATATCCCAATTGCACTATTTTTATAGACAGATGCTATAACTCTGAGAATTATACATTCCTTTATCTTCAGAATCCAACATATTTATTGTGACTCGTTTTCCCATCAGTATTTCCAAAGTGTTATTGCTATTTTTGCCGAAATGTATAAAGCCGAATATAAATACATATTTTCTTTGAAGAACTTTGTATCACCAAGAATACCTATAATACTTCATGTGGTTTCTAAACAAAAATGTGCTATTCAAATGGCTAAGCAGCATCATTAGATCTAGCAGGCTACTTCGCATCATATCCTTAGTGCTCAATAAGTATTAAGATTTAATAAAAATACAAATGTATATTTTTATATTCTGTAAAAATTATATTGATGTGCTATTTTTCTATTAACAACATCTGAAGAGTCTTGATTTCTATGCCAATGAGAAAGCAACATCTTTACAGAAAGATAAAAATGAAGAGCAAAACATTTTTATTTTTATGTCAAGAAATGGACATTCTGACATTGGTTTTAGATAAAAATTGTTCAATGTGATATTTACTAGAGTAACAACACCACGCTTTGGGAGGCCAAGGTGGGAGATCACTTGAGGTCAGGAGTTCGAGACCAGCCTGGCCAAGATGGTGAAACCCTGTCACTACTAAAAATACCAAAAATTAGCTGGGTGTGGTGGCAGGTGCCTGTAATCCCAGCTACTCAGGAGGCTGGGGCAGGAGAATCACTTGAACCTGGGAGGTGGAGGTTGCACTGAGCCAAGATAGTGCCACTGCAATCCAGCCTGGGCAACAAAAGCAAAAGTCTGTCTCAACAATACTACTAAAATAATAAACATCACTTGCGTTGTTTTTTATAGTTACAAAGTGCTTTTAGACATGTCACCATATTTGATATTATTTTCATAAAAACCATGCTGGTAGATAACTGGTAAAACTCTCCTCTCACCCTCCACCTAATAGGTGATAAAACTTGAATGCTATCTGCTTCATAATTAAAAGTAAATTAAAGTTTCATTAACTTGGATTTGAATTTATAGACTATCTTAAATTAACAAACGTGAGATTAGAGATTTTTGTCTTTCTTATTTTTTTACATTATAGTCTGAAACATTTTATAAATGCTCTTGATATAGTCTTGATTCTCAGTGGCACAATATGATTTTAGATTAAGAATACAAATAAGAAGCAACAGGAAACCGTTAGAGAATGTAAGTAAAGGAGCTCAGAAAGGTACCTTCCATCAAGTGCATAGTTAGTATAATTTTTAAAAAATATTTTTAATCTTTAATGTCACTTTGTACAATTGATAATTGTATATTTGCAAATACAACTGAAATTTAACAAATAATTTCCAACAGTTCAACAGCAGTTAACTTCTGCCACTTATTTCCACAAACACACGAAACAACTCTCCATGGCATGCTGATTCGTGGCTGGGAATGTAATAGTTGGGTTTTGACTTCTTAGCTCCAAATCTGAGTTGCAAAGTAAATCTGAGATGAAAATACAAATGTGACTTACAAATATCAAATATTTTTGAAAGTTAAACAATTCTCCTTGCCATTCACTCTTTTTAATAACTGCCTCTTCATGACACATTCCTCTAATATTTATGAAAGTGTTGTTATATGAATACTGTTTTAATGAAAATTAATAGGCATTTCTATATTGATATATACTAGTTTCCTTTTACTGCATTTCTATTTCCAATAATCCACATTACACCAGGGTTATCACTACTGCTACAGCTGCACAAGTAGAATATGGTCATTTAAAGAAATTGCATAACATGTTTCAGGGATACAGATCTGCTGTACGAACGTACATGTCACATGTATGGATGCATCACAGGCTACATATGCTTCCCTCTCCTCAGGGCCACAAAATCAAATTGGCAGCCTGATACACACCTTTTGTGGACAAAATTGATATATAATTTTTTACACAAATTAAGACCGCTATAAGTTGCTTGGAAAAGAAAGAAGGGTCAGTAGTCAACATCTGTCAATAAGAATGGGCAACATATTCTCAAATCTTCCCATATTTCTTTATCCAAATGGGCTACAGAGAAATAGACGGTTTAGAAGTTCCTCTCATATATTAGTCATTCTTATGATAAGCCTGAAGTAGAAATAATAGGAAACTGGCCTTCAAGTGGGTAGATAACAAATAAAAGAAAAAGAAAAAAGAAATATAATGCAAATTGTTTACAAGTATGGATTACCAAAGGCTATAACAGAACTATATCTGCTTTCAATTAATAGTTTCAATAAATTTTAACATGAGTTTGTCCATGCTGTAAAAAACATACATATAGGTACACATTTAAGGAGATAAATACAAGTGAGCAAAAACAACTGCTACTGTGAATCCTTTGTCTCTTAAGATCCAGGAATGGTTATTTTGGTTCTTAACTACATTTCTTGAGCTACATAAATCCACAATAAAAGACTAAGAGTCCTTTGCTTCAAAAAAAAAACCATCTATGAATACAATTTCATCAGCTCCCTGAAAATATATTACTGCTGTAATATCCTCAGATATAGCACAGGACAACTCAAGGCAGCAATATCTGGCAGTCTCAGCTTATCCATGCAGCCAGGAAAAAAAGAGAGGGCACTACCACATTTCACCATCCCAGCCTATTACTGGCCTTAACATTATACATGGTGGTCTTCCATAGGTCCTTTAACCATTCCACTTACGTGGCCTGCTCAATTGTAATAATATCACAGATCACCAGAGCCTTACATGTCACAAAGAAATTGTACATGGAGTATCTCCTCTGATCTTCACAACAGCCCTTTGGGGTATCCCAAATCAGACAAGGTGTCAGAGGTGTAAAAATTTGTTTACAGATATGTGGCTGACAAATGGAGGGCTGATCCTATGACTCTCAGCCCAGTGCTTTCCATGTGGTATTACAAGGAATTATAGGCCGCTTCAGCAGAGCTGTTTGAATATCAAGACCTTGCCTATCTAGTCACCACAGTTTCAGTAATGGCTCATTGAGATGCAGGTCTTCTTTACTAAAGTACCTATCAAACCACTGAATAGATCACACTCAGTCATAAAACATGATACAATGAATCCAAAAGTTGCCATAAATGTCTACAAGTCATCTCACAACAGAAGCTTTCAAATTTGACATAGATTTCATGTTCTTTGAATATCACAATAATCATTTTGGTTTTTAACTATACTATGAGCTTATTACAGTTGTCTTTTCCCCCTCCTTTTGAGTAATTAGCATTATTTTGGATAGTGTGCTACTAAAAAAGCAGAACACTTTTGTAATCTATACTGGTAACAAAAACCTTGTCTATTTAAATCTGATACATCTTTCTCATGGATAGGACAAGCCATAATGTACAGTTCAGTCTACACAGCAATTCACACTCATTTACAGGTCCTTCTCTTCTCAAATTCAGCCATTGGCCTTGGTTCCTCTATAGAGTATGCTTCCTAAGCTGACTCAGTTTATCACAATCACTATACAGATCATTTATTGGTGGGAGAAGCTTACTGTGCCAGCACGTTGAACACCAAGAGATTCATAAGACCCCCAGTTTCTGTCTCTCATGCCTTAGAACCTGGAATTCTGCTATAATTTCAACTTTGGAGAAACGCATTAGAAAACTGCTCTTAACATTGTGTTCAATTCAACAATCCTTATTGAGCACATATAAGACACAGTTACCCAATATGGAAATCTTAGATTCTATTCCATTTCTCTGTTTCTTGCTTTTACCATAGACAGTCACCAGAGTCAGAACACTGACTCTTATAAATATCTTTCTTATCTGAGTCCTCCTTTCCATTTCAATTAATACTGCCTTGGCTCAATTAATTGTTTGTTCTTGATTGGATTCTTAATCTAGTCTTCTATCTGGTATCCCTGCCTCCAGGGAATGTATAAATAAATGAATGAGTCAGTAACTATAATTTGGTGACACATAGATCCTTAGCTGGTATTCAAGTGCCTTCATAACTTGTCTCCTTTCATTCCACTTTTTCTCCTTCCTTCTTTTCCTCACATATAACCCCTACAGTTTCAGGCAATCTGTCATTACTCTCAGAGTGAAGTTCAACATTATTAGCTACTACCGAGGCACAGGCTACTCAGAATGAACACCTGTATGAACACAGTAGCGTTTTACTAAAACACATCAGTTGACTTTGAGTCCTAACCATTCCTGCACAGTATCATTTGTATGTCCATGCT